CTGGGAGCAGAGCAGCAGGGCACAAAACCAACCAGCCTGGCTGTCCCCTCACCCAGGGGGTGCCAGAGGGGCAGGGTGGGGACACAACCCTGCTGCCGCCCCCCAGCTTTCCCAGCCTTCAAATACACGAGGAGAGGAGGCAGCGATGGCCCCAAAGCCACCACACATCCCAAAGTGGCACTGGGGACACAGCAAAAGCCACAGAGCAATGAACCCTCCCACTCCCTGCAGGGCTGTGCCCTCGGTGGGGACAATGCTCTGCCAAGACACCCCCCCAATGTCCCCAGGTCCCACGGGGTCAGCGGGCACAGGGCCACCCTCCACCCAAGGGCATGGCCAGCAAGCGCTGGCACAGATGGCACTGCCTGGGACAGGGTGAGTGTCACAAACGTGTCCCCACGGAGCCCAGAGGGAGGGGACACACGGCAGCAGCGTGGCTGGCAGTGGAACCTTGCTGCAGGTTCCCGACTGGTGTTCCCAGATAACAATTAGATAGAGCAGAAGGAATCGGAGCTGACAGAGCTATTTGTTAGCTGCGATGTTTTCGTAGCCGATCTGCCCGTATCAAAGCCCCGTGAATTATTTATTCTGTTGTTTATTTAAGGATACGTGACCCGGCAGTGACAGAGTGAAAAATGTCCCCTCGGCGCTGCGCTGACGTTCCCCCCCGTGTGCCTCCCGCCCCCGGCGCTGCTGCTGTGCCCATTCCCTGCCGGGGCACAGCCGGGAGCTGCCAGCGCTGCTCACACCAAATTCACACCGAGCTCACACTGAGCTCACACCGAGCTACCCCAGCCCTGCTCACACCGAGCTCACACCGAGCTCACACCGAGCTCCCCCAGCCCTGCTCATACCGAGCTCATACCGAGCTCATACCGAGCTCACACCGAGCTCACACTGAGCTCACACTGAGCTACCCCAGCCCTGCTCACACCGAGCTCACACGGAGCTCACACTGAGCTACCCCAGCCCTGCTCACACCGAGCTCACACTGAGCTCACACCGAGCTACCCCAGCCCTGCTCACACCGAGCTCACACCGAGCTCACACCGAGCTCACACCGAGCTCACACTGAGCTCACACTGAGTTCCCCCAGCCCTGCTCACACCGAGCTCACACTGAGCTCACACCGAGCTCTCACTGAGCTACCCCAGCCCTGCTCACACCAAATTCACACCGAGCTCACACCGAGCTCACACTGAGCTCTCACTGAGCTCACACTGAGCTACCCCAGCCCTGCTCACATCGAGCTCACACCGAGCTCCCATCGAGCTCACACCGAGCTCACACCGAGCTCACACTGAGCTCACACTGAGCTCACACTGAGTTCCCCCAGCCCTGCTCACACCGAGCTCACACCGAGCTCACACTGAGCTCACACTGAGTTCCCCCAGCCCTGCTCACACCGAGCTCACACTGAGCTCACACCGAGCTCCCATCGAGCTCACACCGAGCTCACACCGAGCTCACACTGAGCTCACACTGAGCTACCCCAGCCCTGCTCACACTGAGCTCACACCGAGCTCACACCGAGCTCACACCGAGCTCACTCTGAGCTCACACTGAGCTCCCCCAGCTCTGTTCACACTGAGCTCACACCGAGCTCACACCGAGCTCTCACTGAGCTACCCCAGCCCTGTTCACACCGAGCTCACACCGAGCTCACACCGAGCTCTCACTGAGCTACCCCAGCTCTGTTCACACCGAGCTCACACCGAGCTCACACCGAGCTACCCCAGCCCTGCTCACACCAAATTCACACCGAGCTCTCTTTGAGCTACCCCAGCCCTGCTCACACGGAGCTCACACCGAGCTCTCACTGAGCTCCCCCTGCCCTGCTCACACCGAGCTCACACTGAGCTACCCCAGCCCTGTTCACACCAAGCTCACACCCAGCTCCCCCTGCCTTGCTCACACCTAGCTCCCCCACCCACCATGAGATGCTGTAGTCAGGGATCTGCAGATGGAGCTCAGCTCTCCCTGTTCCCAGCCATGCTCACATTGAACTGCCCCGGTCCCGCTCCCACCGAGCTCCCCAGCCCTGCTCTCACACCCCAAGATCCCCAAGCCCCCTGTGAGACATTGGGGTCAGGGATGTGCAGATGGAGCTCAGCTCTCCCTGCTCCCAGCCCTGCTCACACTGAGTTCCCCCTGGCCTGCTCACACCGAGCTCCCCCAGCCCCCCATGAGACACTGAGCTCAGGGATGTGTAGATGGAGTTCAGCTCTCCCCATTCCCAGCCCTACTCACACCAAGCTCTCCCAGCCCTGCTCCCACCGAGTTCCCCCAGCCCCCTGCGAGACGTTGGGGTTAGGGATGTGCAGATGGAGCTCAGCTCTCCCCGTTCTCACATCGAGCTGCCCTGGTCCCACTCTCACCGAGCTCCCCCAGCCCCCCATGAGACGCTGGGGTGAGGGATGTGCTGATGGAGCTCAGCTCTCCCCGTTCCCAGTGTTTAGAGCCACCTCACCTTGCGTTTCCAGGTTTTCACAGAGCTCCGACTTGGCCTCTCCGTTGGGGCGGAACCCTCCCTTCTGAGAGAACTTGTTGGACATGGTGGCCGCTGTCACCACCGCCTTGAGGCTCCGCTTGCGCTTGGGGACGTTCTGCTCCGGGTGGAAGAGGATGATGTACACCTTGGGCATGTAGAGCATGCCCAGGGACACCGAGGCACTCAGACTCACCGAGATGGTGAGCGTCGTGGTCTGGATGTACATCTGCAAAACACAAAGCCACCGGCTCAGACCCCCCAAAGCCCCCATGGGATCCAAGAGGGGAAGGAGGAAATGGGAAAACAAGGGTAAGTTAGGGTTAAATAAATGCAGTGGGAAGGCAGGGCTGGAAATGTTGGCAGAGCTGGATGTCAAACACGAGCGCTGATGCTCCAGCAGCCACAGGGCAGGAGATGCCAGGCCAGTGCTGGGCACAGCAAGGACACCCAATCCCACCCCTCGGGCACACCCTGCTCCCAGGGCACACCCCCTCCCCTTCTCCCTTCAACAGGTAATTCCCATTCCCCCGCTGACTCCCGGGCTCTTGTCATGTAAGTCACATATTACACACCGACGCTGCCTTTTTGCAGTCAAAACTAATTTCACGCTCACTGTCCAGGACTAACAGTGACAGATGTTTTGCAAAATGAAAGCCCATTAATCTGACTGTAGAATAATCCATTTTTCTATGGAGAGCAGTTGGCAGGCTCCTCTCAAGCCGGGGCATCTGAAGCAGGTGGCAATTGGAGGCAGAGACCCCCTCTCTGTGCCCACCTCACCCCTCAGGGAGGCAGGGAGGGTGAGTCCCTGTTCCGTGGGCATCCCTGCTCTGCCAGCATCTCTCCAGCATCCCCTTCTCCAGCAGGCAGCTCCTGTGCTGGGCTTGGGGGCTGGGCAGGCTCTGGGTCACATCTGGGACACATCTGCTTTGCAGGTCACCGACACGGCTTTTGAAGGAGCCTTAAAGCAATTCCTGAACTTCACCTACGGCTCAAACTCCAGGGATTGCCCTGCAGGGTTTCACAGGTGGGATTCAATGCCCTGGAGGAGCCAGGGAAGCCTGGGGGCTGTGGCAGCAGCCAGGGCAGGGGGTCCCCATGTCCCCAGGGGCACACACTTCACCTGGGCATTCATGAAGTGAAAAATGACAGAGGGCACACACTGAGGACAGGCTCTGCACGGCTCCTTGGGGGACAGCTCATCCCAAGAGTGAGAGCTCATCCCAGAACCCCTCCAAAACCCACAGGTCCCACCTGTGACCCAGCAAAGCCAACCAAAGCACGGCCCAAAGCATTCCAGCTCAGCCCCAAAGGGAAAATGCCACCCAGCTTGCTCTGAGTCAACTGAAAAACTTTGGTTTGTCCCCAGAATAAAACCTCCTGCTGTCACACGCGCCGGTTTGTTTGTTCCACCTTCTCTCTCCAGGCAGTTTTTGGAAATAAAAATGTCATTTCATCAAGCAAAGTCAAAACACATCTCTGTGCCAGAATTTGCGCGCTTTTTTATTTCTTCCTTTTTTTTTNCACTGAGCTACCCCAGCCCTGCTCACACCGAGCTCACACCGAGCTCACAGAGAGCTACCCCAGCCCTGCTCACACTGAGCTCACACCGAGCTCACACCAAGCTCACACTGAGTTCCCCCAGCCCTGCTCACACCGAGCGCCTCCAGCCCCCCATGAGATGCTGGAGTCAGGGATGTGCAGATGGAGCTCAGCTCTCCCTGTTCCCAGCCATGCTCACATTGAACTGCCCCAGTCCCGCTCCCACCGAGCTCCCCAAGCCCTGCTCTCACACCCCAAGCTCCCCCAGCCCCCTGTGAGACATTGGGGTCAGGGATGTGCAGATGGAGCTCTCCCTGCTCACACCAAGCTCACACCAAGTTCCCCCAGCCCTGCTCACACTGAGCTCCCCCAGCCCCCCATGAGACATTGGGGTCAGGGATGTGCAGATGGAGCTCAGCTCTCCCCATTCCCAGTCCTGCTCACACCGAGCTCCCCCAGCCCCCCATGAAACATTGGGGTCAGGGATGTGCAGATGGAGCTCAGCTCTCCCCGTTCCCAGCGTTTACACCCCCAGAGAGCCCCGCCGTGAGCCCCTGCGGGAGCCACCTCACCTTGCGTTTCCAGGTTTTCACAGAGCTCCGACTTGGCCTCTCCGTTGGGGCGGAACCCTCCCTTCTGAGAGAACTTGTTGGACATGGTGGCCGCTGTCACCACCGCCTTGAGGCTCCGCTTGCGCTTGGGGACGTTCTGCTCCGGGTGGAAGAGGATGATGTACACCTTGGGCATGTAGAGCATGCCCAGGGACACCGAGGCACTCAGACTCACCGAGATGGTGAGCGTCGTGGTCTGGATGTACATCTGCAAAACACAAAGCCACCGGCTCAGACCCCCCAAAGCCCCCATGGGATCCAAGAGGGGAAGGAGGAAATGGGAAAACAAGGGTAAGTTAGGGTTAAATAAATGCAGTGGGAAGGCAGGGCTGGAAATGTTGGCAGAGCTGGATGTCAAACACGAGCGCTGATGCTCCAGCAGCCACAGGGCAGGAGATGCCAGGCCAGTGCTGGGCACAGCAAGGACACCCAATCCCACCCCTCGGGCACACCCTGCTCCCAGGGCACACCCCCTCCCCTTCTCCCTTCAACAGGTAATTCCCATTCCCCCGCTGACTCCCGGGCTCTTGTCATGTAAGTCACATATTACACACCGACGCTGCCTTTTTGCAGTCAAAACTAATTTCACGCTCACTGTCCAGGACTAACAGTGACAGATGTTTTGCAAAATGAAAGCCCATTAATCTGACTGTAGAATAATCCATTTTTCTATGGAGAGCAGTTGGCAGGCTCCTCTCAAGCCGGGGCATCTGAAGCAGGTGGCAATTGGAGGCAGAGACCCCCTCTCTGTGCCCACCTCACCCCTCAGGGAGGCAGGGAGGGTGAGTCCCTGTTCCGTGGGCATCCCTGCTCTGCCAGCATCTCTCCAGCATCCCCTTCTCCAGCAGGCAGCTCCTGTGCTGGGCTTGGGGGCTGGGCAGGCTCTGGGTCACATCTGGGACACATCTGCTTTGCAGGTCACCGACACGGCTTTTGAAGGAGCCTTAAAGCAATTCCTGAACTTCACCTACGGCTCAAACTCCAGGGATTGCCCTGCAGGGTTTCACAGGTGGGATTCAATGCCCTGGAGGAGCCAGGGAAGCCTGGGGGCTGTGGCAGCAGCCAGGGCAGGGGGTCCCCATGTCCCCAGGGGCACACACTTCACCTGGGCATTCATGAAGTGAAAAATGACAGAGGGCACACACTGAGGACAGGCTCTGCACGGCTCCTTGGGGGACAGCTCATCCCAAGAGTGAGAGCTCATCCCAGAACCCCTCCAAAACCCACAGGTCCCACCTGTGACCCAGCAAAGCCAACCAAAGCACGGCCCAAAGCATTCCAGCTCAGCCCCAAAGGGAAAATGCCACCCAGCTTGCTCTGAGTCAACTGAAAAACTTTGGTTTGTCCCCAGAATAAAACCTCCTGCTGTCACACGCGCCGGTTTGTTTGTTCCACCTTCTCTCTCCAGGCAGTTTTTGGAAATAAAAATGTCATTTCATCAAGCAAAGTCAAAACACATCTCTGTGCCAGAATTTGYGCGCTTTTTTATTTCTTCCTTTTTTTTTGTTTTTTGTTTTTCCCCATTCCAACTCTCCAGCCTTTGCCACGGGTGTTCTGGACTGGCCAGGGATGAGGGCAGCACTGGGACCCCGAATCCAGGGACCCCAAGCCCTGCCTGGGAAGCAGCACCGGCACAGAGTGACCCCGCTGGGGCACRGCTCAGCTCAGCACCCCTCGTCTCCCTGGCTCCCTGCCTTCCCCAGGAGCCAATCCAGCCATTTCCATATTTTGTGCCTCTGCAGCGGCTCCCCCCTCCCCGTGCCTTGGGGCTCGGAGGCGTTTCAGCGAGGAGGGAGAGAGCAGCAGAGCTGAGCTGAGCTCAGATATCTCCGCGTGTGATCCCCCCTCGCTCCTGGGTCGGTTCTCCTGGTGCTGCCAGGGACTCCTCTCTGCTCAGACCCTGCTGCCACCATCCCAGCTCCCCACCCCACTCTCCACCTCCTGCAGCGCTTTTTRGGGTCTCACAGGGCCACCGTGGCGACCTTCCCCCCGACACTGTGCTTGCCAGGAGCCATTTTCCAGCCCCCTCCAGCCTCYGCAGCAAACCCCTCACCACCTCAGACAGGAATATTTTTATCCTGGAGCCTCCCCACAGCCGTGGAGCTCTGCTCAGTTTAACCTTTTGCCACTGCGAAAAAATGACCATTTCTCACAGTTTCACTTCCTACTCTCTTAATTGGCCGCCAGCCCAGGACCGCGCTTCGCCCCTCCGTTAACAACACTCGAGCTTCCCCCGGAGCGCCGGGAGGGGAGAGCTGCGGTTATCGAGGAGCTCCAGCTCCTGCTGCCCCACGGGCTGGATCAGAGAGCACAGCCAGCCCTGGCTCAGGGCGATGAGGCTGGGCTGAGGGCCAGCGGGAACCCAAATTGACCCCGCACAAGCCCCCCAGGCCAGCGCTGTGCTCAGCCTTGCCCAGGGCTGGGTAAGCCTGTCCTGCCCGGGGGCACAGCCCAGGTTTGGGGCACAGCTCAGG